AGTTTTAAATCGTCTGTTTTTCTTACATCAAATATTTTTTGTATCATTTTTAGTTCTACCTTCAAATCATTTTTACTGGTTGCTTACACTTCGTATTAATCCTAGAGGTGATAATCTTCAGTTTTCTGAATTATTTATAAATAGTTTTTACTACAGATTTTTTTGTTGTTGTTGTTATTTCTTTACACCAGTGGTTCCTAAACGGGACAATTTAATTTTTAAAGGGCCGGGGATTTGAGAATGAGTTATTAACAGTGAACTTTTTTTCTAGTGCGTCTGTGTGCGTATGATTATGTGTGCGAGTTAATACATATGGCGCATATACAGTATGCGTACATAAAATATTTACGTGTATTTGCGTGTATATGTGTAATTACGTATGTATTCTTTATAAAATATATATATTTATATTAGTACCAAATATTTTATAAATATTGTAAAATTCTAAAATTAAATGATAATACTATTGTATAAATGCAGTCTCAAGTTCTTAAGGAAACTTGCGAGAGTATACAAAGGTACGCTGAAATATAGTACCTGTAATAAGAGTAATTACATATCCATTTGATAAAATTTTTTATATTCATATTTATATATTGCATACGTATATACAGTATATATATATATATATATATATATATATATATATATATATATGTGTGTGTGTGTGTGTGTGTGTATGTGTGTGTGTGTGTGTGTGTGATTACAATTAATGACGTGAATAGAAGTTCACTTTTTTTAATAATAAGTATGGTGAGTATCAGGATTTTAGAGATCATTAGGTGGGGTATGGCCAAAACAAGAAAAGGTTTAGAAACACTGGTTTTCACCTAATACATATAATAATCTGAAGTTTTATTTGTAATTAATTTTTCCTTTAACTTACTTTGGTTGTTTGTTTACAACTAGTAATAGCAACAAACGTAACAGTTTTCAAAATTTCTTAGATGAAGTATTGCAACTGTTAGTTTTTTTATTACATTGTATTTTAAATTCTTACACTTTATTGTTTATCACGACAATCGAATCAACAAAACTTTGAAGTTTGCACAAAACTTAAGACTATTTGTTTCATTTAAGTACACCGATTCCATTTCATTTAACTTTACTTTCACTTTCACTTTCTCTTCGCCTAAATGTATTTTCTACTCTTAATATTCTCTTTCTTTCTTTTGATTTCGTTTCGTCGTACATCGACTACTGTTCTCTTTTATTAACAAATTCTTCTGTCTTAGTACATCTATCTATCTATCTATCTATCTATCTATCTATCTATCTATCTATCTATCACACGAATCGCTCACTTATCTGGAGAAAAATTACAGAATGCAGTGCCAAAATTCTTTTAGCATGGAACTCTATTTCAAATGAATTCATTTTGTCATTCTCATTTTAACTGAGTGAATTTTAGGTTGCTGTCTACTTTTTTTAAATGCCTTTTTAAACTACCACTTCCGTTTTTCGAGCCAATCAGATTCCATTCTATTTCTGTTGTCCAGTCCTTTTCTCGTATCCGTCTAATTACGTTAGATTCTCGAAAAGCGATCATCATCATTTAATACATTATAATCCTCATAAGATTTATTTGGCTGAAAATCGTTTCAGCTTTAGATTAAATCAGGAGAAAGAGACGGAACGAAGAGTGTCATTTACGAAATGCGGATATGAAAAAATATTAAGTAATAATTCAATTTACGCACAAGTAAAATATATAAAATATTATATATATGAACAAACAATATATATATATATATATATATATATATATATATATATATATATATATATATATATGGACAGAATAAGATAGATAGATAGATAAGAACAGTCTGAGATAGATAGACATGAACAAGCTTATATAGATAGCTAGATAGATAGTCAATAATGAGTAGACTAAAATAGATAGATACTCAGTCATAACCAAACCAAGATAGATTGATTGATATGAATACAGATAAATAGATAGATAGATAGATAGATAGATATGAACACAGATAAATAATACATACATAGATGCATAGATAATATATCTGTGATTCGTGGTGAAGATTTTGTGAATGAATAAAACCATCTATTGTTTCTGTTATAATATCGATTGCAAATGTCTGCAGATTAATTCAAACACAAATGATTAGAAACGAGGATGTTAATAATCTGCTGTTTTAATCACACTTCCACACTCACCCACCAACACAGAGTGAGTCACGTGCACGCAGATCATTTTGAATGTACCACTTATTATTTCGAAAATAGGTCTGAACGGAAGCGTCCACCATTTCATGCCATATAATCGCAATCACACCAATACACTCGAACGTTATCTTTTAGGTAAGCGTATAGGCGCACATATAAGCATATATACAGTACCGTGCAAAAGTCTTAGATGATTTTAAACTATTGTAAATTTCTAATAATTGCTATCTGGATGTTTTTTATTGTGCTGTCTACAAATGAAAATTTTAGCCACATTGAAGTCATTTTTATGGCTAATTATCATATTTTACACAAGCGTTCTAAAGTAGTGTGGAAGATGCACGTATGTGTGTGTGTGTGTATGTGTAGGGTGGGTATGACATCAATGTCGGCAGAAAAGTGATAAAAAGCGTTTATTTTAAACGACTTCATTTTTACAATATTCTCTCGTTTATTGTCATTGTACATAACTGTTCTCAATGAATTGCATCGAACGAAAATTTAACAGTGAACGTTTTAGATCAAAATTCTATTAATAAATGTTTCTGACTACTGACTTATTGATCAATGTTTTTTTTTTATGAGGAATCGTTAATCTCTCTCATTTCTCTGTAGTTTATCGCAATATTCAGCCATTTATATTCAAGACATATATATACTCTCGACTCTCCTGTCGAATTCGACGTATGAGGGCCAAGGAAACTGGCAACCCGACACCAGCACTTGAGATTTGATTATAGTGTTGAAGGTTTTGTGCAGAACCATCCACACTTTTTGAAGGGCCGAATACAGAGACTTGGTGCACAAACCCTCCGAGTTGTCCTTCTAGACCAGTTGCCATCCAAGGCTATAGAACTCAGTCTGTCCTGCTATTTACCCATAGCTGGAGGGAGAAGAGGATTCACACCTTTCCCAAGGGTATTAGCACGTAAGTGAATGTAATGGATTCGACTGGAATTCGAACTCGGCTCTCCGATTCCTCAATCCAAGTCGCTATCCATTACTCCACCGTGCCTCAATCATTACATTCACTTAGGTGGGGGGAAGAAGAGGATTCTATAGCCTTGGATGGCAACTGGTCTAACGCAGTCATGTATCGAAAGATACATGATCGACTAAGCGTGTATCACTGACTGACTGACCTTGGGAAAGGTATAAAACCTCTTCTCCCCTCTTCTATGGGTAAATAGCAGGACAGACCGAGTTCTATAGCCTTGGATGGCAACTGGTCTAACGCAGTCATGTATCGAAAGATACATGATCGACTAAGCGTGTATCACTGACTGACTGACCTTGGGAAAGGTATAAAACCTCTTCTCCCCTCTTCTATGAGTAAGTAGAAGGACAGACCGGGTTCTATAGCCTTGGATGGCAACTGGTCTACCGCAGAAAAGAAATGGCAACCTACTGCGGGAAAAAATCTGCCTCGTCAGTCATGTATCGAAAGATACATGATCGCCTAAGCGTGTATCACGCATGGCACATAATTGATTGATATTTATGTTATATCCATGTCATTAGTTCTTACTATTCTATCGTTATATTACTCCGTCTTGTAGCCAAACTTTTGTCAGATAAATTCGTTCGTTTTATTCCCATTTATTTTAAACCTATTATGAATAATTTTAACAAAACAGTCAATAATATTCAATGTTCGCCGAGTTTTTTGAACCTTACCCATCGAATGAAGGTGTTAGGTGACAGTATCATGAGAAAGTTCCCAATGCTTTATTTTCGTTTTAGAAGTGTGTCCTGTTTATAACATCGCTATTGTCTCAAATCCATCCCTGACTTTTACAGCCTTATTGGGCTGAGTTATTTACAAATCTTAAGTTTGAACATGTGCTAACATAATTGATATCTACATACTTTAAAATTTTTGTAAATTTTTAAAACTTTTTTTCTTTACTTTTCTTAAAACACTTTTAAAAATCTTTTTATGGGATTTATTTCGGAAACATATGCACAAAAATTTTTGCCGTCCATAATTATTTATTTTAAAATTTAAGCATAAACGGATAAATAATTTTATTAATTTATGTAAATTTTTGTTCTTTACTTAAAAAGTTATATAGCCGTTTGTTTGTTATTTTAGAAGACTCTTTCTAGTAACTCCACTCTTTAAAAAAAAAGTTTATTTTTGTACGCAATATCTCTGTAAAATTCAGGAATCGATTTGACACTTTATCAATATTATAAACATGACCCCTCTTCTAAATCGATAAGAAACCCATATTTTTCGATTCTTACAAGTGTCGCAACCTACGGAAGGTCTAAAGGTTTTTCCTAAAAAGATGTTCCCTCTTTTTTTTTATGAGTGGCCCACTCGATTCAAATAGAGCCCTTTGTAGTTGATTAATTGTTATTAAGTATAGTTTAGTTTTGGTACAAGGTTACTATTGCGGGACACCCAGTGAGGATCGATTTCGATACTCAGTAGTAATGGTCAATCAGGCGAGCTCGTTAACCATTACCTCCCCCCACACACACGCAGACACACACGTTATATCACACTATATACTTACTAAGCTTAGATTGGTTTTTGCACAGTGTCACAAATATGGGGCACCTAGTGAGGATCGAACTCAATATTCAGCTGCGAGACCAACTTCCTTACTACTATTCCACAAATAGACACGTCTGAACATATGAATGTTTAGATGTGTATTTATACTCACAAAATTACAGGCATATATATGATTGTGTTTGTATCTCTGTGTGTTTGTAATTGCTTACGTCGGTAAGTTCACACACGTACACACGTACACCACACATAGTTCGCTAGAAATACGCACACGTGTATACCAATGACGACCCAAGAGTCTGACCTTTCATCTCGCCTCTACGATCGTTGCTCAGAACTTTTTACTGTCAAAATGTCCAAACTGACGTTCTCTCACGTCATCCGAAGATTTGTCCTCTTTTTTTTTCCCTACCATCCCACTCTCCGACCATCACTTTCTCAAGCTTTATTCTCAATTAATACTGATTGTTCCAGACGGCATTGTCACATCTATTGCCTGTGAGATTTTTTTTTGTTTTGTTCTTCTGCGACCGCAACGCCAAAAACATTTTCAAGTAAAAGAGTTTTTAAGCTAATTGCTTAGTCTTTAAAAATTGTCGCCTCAAATATTCCACACTGTCTCTCACTTCGCACATCCGACACGGACCTTTTCTGTTTGTCCAGGCGCTGATATTCAGCACAAAATATTTCGGTTCAACCAAATATATTTTTTTCTTTTCTTATTTACCAAACATTTGTTACGAAATGCTTTGAAATTATTCTAGACATATAAGGGTAAATAGAAACCACAATCGGTGAACGTGACGTTAGTTATAGGTCGGTTGAATTTACTTTAGTTACTTAATACCAAAATCGAAGTCAATTTTTTTATTTTTTATTTTATTTTTATTATTAATCCAGAAGTAAATATATGGCTGAAAGACAGACTATATTTGAGTCAATAAGCATTAACTTGATTCGGTAATAAGTAAAAACTAGTTGTTTATACTTGAACCTGTAAGAATTTACTTAGTTTGAGCAAAAGTAAATAATTTTCGTTTACTTTTGAGTCTGTGAGCATTCACTTGGTATAGTAAAAAATGTTAGTCGATATTATTCATTTGATTGCTTCAGGTTTGTTAAATATTGGTCCTTTATAGTTGTTCCTGTAAGAATATTTTTGGGTCGACGAGAGACAAATTATTGTCGTTTACATATGAGTCTGTGAGCATTCACTTGGTATAGTAAAAAAAGAAAAAGAAATGATAGTCGATATTATTTGAGTCTCTATTGATTTGTTAAGTAGAAATTGGTCGTTTATATTTGAGAATATAATTATCAGAGGTTCCATCAGTGACCATCGCAGAGAAAATTGAGCAAAGAATCTACATCAAATTTTACCAAAAGCTTAAGAATTCCTACGCAAAGACCTATGCAAAGTTATGCTAAATTGCAGAAAGTGTATGGCAATGAGTGTTTGGTCATACCTCGAATATAGAACTGAATCGGAGTTAATGTCGATGGAAGCGGAGATAATAATGTATGCTGTTTTGAACGTAACAGTAGTATTCATTCGAATGAAGGAAAATATGACACTGAAATTTGAAGGTGTCTTAGAATCGCGAAAGATGTCTTCCAAAAGTTAAACAAAGTATTAAGAAATTGGAAAAAAATTGTTAAAAACAAAGAAAAGTGTGTCAAGCTACTATGCAATATCAATACTTGCATATGTCAGTGACTGCTGGACAATTTCCTCACAAATGAAGAGAAAACTTGAGGCAAAAGAAATATCGTTCTACAGAAGGATGATGAGAATGCCAGAGACGGAACATGTGAACAGCGAGAAAGTTTTAAGGCAAATATAAAGAAAAAGGGCTCATATATAGAACCAAAATGGGACATTTGAAATTTTGGGCAAACATTAAGAAGATAGTTTAGAGAATTTGACACTCACAAGGAGATATTGAAGACAAGAGGGACAAATAGAAACAGCGAGTAAACTGCCTAACGAGCTTGTGTAAATGGATTGCAGAACAGGGAGTTGGTTAAACAGAACGGTAACGCGTTGGAAGTTGTGGAGAGCTGTGATCACCTATGCCTAGAAGAAGAAGAATATGGATTTTAATATTGATTAAGATCGTGCATTATTTTCTGATTTCCTGTCTTACTTTATGTCTTCATTTGTTCGACGGAAAAAAAATTGCGCCTCTAAACATTGTCTTCAAACTCCACAACATGTTTTCTATACAGGCAGGCATTTTTAAAGGCAAAAAAAAGTTAATGTCTCGACCCCTGTTGTGTTTCTGTCCGATCTCTTGTATTATTTTGCCTTTCCCGCCCATCGTCTGTACACAAATCTTTTCCTTCTTCAACCGCGACTTACCCAGCCCTGAAAACAGTTTACATTCCTGTACGGTACAAAATCGTGAATGCTGTTTATCTGGTGACACACCAGACATTCCAATCCCAGGATTTTTTTTTTAATGTCATAAAATAATATTTTACAACAGTCTCCAGCAGCAGCAAGCTAATCATATTTCTCGTCATATGTTGAACAGACGATATGCGAAAGGCCCCCGTCAATGAGTGTAACAGCTTCTTTAATCTAGGAGGAAAATTATTTGCCTCAATGCACATTCAATCATTCTCTTTCCATTCTAGCATTAATACAGCGATGTTTTTTTGTGAAGGTAATGGTGACAAAGAAAATGATACTGAGCTGTTATGAGACATCCGTTCTTCTTAACGGTAGAAAATGCTGGACGATTTCCTAAAGAATGAAGAAGAGACTCGAAACGATGGAGATGTGGTTCTACAGAAGGATGCTGAGGATTTCGTGAGCCGATCGTGTGAGCAACGATGAGGTCTTAGAGAGGTTGCAAACAAGGAGGAGGCTTATACTTAACATCAAGAAGAGGCAGCTGAAGTTTCTGGGACACATAATAAGGAAGAAGGGCCTGGAAAATCTAATACTCACAGGTCGAATGGAGGGCAAGAGAGACAAAGGAAAGCAGCGCGTGGCATTCCTAGCGGGTTTAAGTAAGTAGATGACAGAACATGGTCTAGGGGAGGAAGCAGAGGGAAGGAACGAGAGCTGCAAAGGATAGAAGGTAGTGGAGAGCCATGATCCTGAAAGGACACGACACATAACAAAAGGCGAACCTATATATTCATACTGATGAAAAATATTCATAAATAGTAAATAAAATTTCAGAGTTTAGGCGAAGACGTTAGAAGTATAGAGTTGAAGTAGACTTTAGAAGGAACCGGAAACCCAGACTTAAACAATTAAACAAGTGACAAAATTCTACCCCTGTTCAAAAGGCCGGAGAGGAATATAAACCTGGCGATAGACATATCTATATACCCGTATTATTTTAATGAAGGAAATTAATAATTTGCAAGATAAATATAAACAATACAATTTCTCAATATCCGGGTAGTACATTTGACTAACTGCGTATATAAAAGTAAGTATCTATCAGCCGAAGCAATATGTAATGATATATGTGCATGGTTTATAAATAAATACAGCCAAGCTATTGATGCTTCTTGATTTATTCTGCGGATAATTAGCTTCTAGGATTCAAATATCTTCAGCAATTTTAGGAAAATGTCAGGTCATAAATAATTTAATTTTAGTTTAGTTTTTAGTTTTTTTAAAGTAAAATAAAGTACAATTACATTTTATTTGATTATATATTCCCCATTATGTACAATGATTTGTCACTTTTCAGGCAACATTTCGATGCCTTTTGAATAAAATTCCACAGATTCTGATGTGAAAAATGTTTGGCGAACTCTTGAATCTGGTTTCCAGTAGATAAAGTTTCCCTCCTTAAATAATCGTTTGATACAAAGTCATTTAATTACGGCGGGTTGGATAGAACAGACTAACCGAGTTCCAAAAAATTTTCCTATGTTATTCCTGATGTACACGGCCTTGAGTTTTCATAAAAGAATATAATTTTCTTTTTATTCTACTGCGTACGCTGCTACTATCATACCCAAATTTATTCTTAGTTGCCACGGAGAACTAGTAGTTAGGAGTCTACATTCGTCATTAAAATCGGTTCCTAAAAACGGGAATTACTTATGATTCAATCTAATACTACAGTATGTTCTAATCGAGTCACTATTTAAAATCGTAAAACAAATAGAGTTTTCAGTTAGTAATAACGTTTGACTGTTTGCTAACGATCGTAGAATGGTGATGCGGGGTCTTTGATAAAAATCAACACAAATTAAAATGAAAAAAATACAAAAGAAATTCATCACTGGCAATGCTTCATCTAAAAAATTTAAGTATCCAGTGTTTTCAATATATTTAATGACATAATTGTGCGCCTTTTACGACTAAGACAATCGCTACAATAGAGCAGACAGTAGTTTTCATTTGCTAGCGGAGGACATATTCCCTGATTAGTATATATGCAGGTTATTTGTGTTCATTTTGTTTAGTTCTTTTTTCGTAACAGATTTAATGTTTAGTATAGAGCTTCAATTCGAAATGTGAGATAGGCCAGAAATAAGGCATGTAGCAACATCAGCACGGCAAAGGGCACTCCTTGAAAGGCAAGGAAGGGCAAAAATATTTTAAGTCAAGTGATAGCGATTGCTGTATGAGTCGTACGATCTTTGAATCAAGCATGGGCAACGCCGGGCCATGCTGCTAGTATATGTATATATGAATCTGTGTATTATATCCGGGGTCACCTATATTTCATAGATACCTTACTTCGTTTAGTAAGCAAATACTTAGAAATACTTTTAATAGTAGCATAAATACACGATATATCGGGGATGCGGAGAAGAAGTCTTATTTGGAACACACCAGTTCATACCTGTTCACTAGCAAAAAGTAGATTCGAATTCTGTTTAACGATTCAAGAAATCAATCTCCATTAATCGATCGTTATTGATATAATGCGTCGCTCGGTAGAATTTCAAAATTCCAATTTGGCGTTGGCGTGAGGACATTTTCCTGGTCTGCTTGCTTGGACTTATTCCTTGTTTTTCTTTGAGAAAAAAAAGCAAAAAAAAAAACAAAAAACATGTCCACACGCCAACCAAATATCATTCTTTCTGCATATATATATATATATATATATATATATATATATATATATATATATATATATATAGTTGGATTGATGTGACCCTGGGTTTCACGCTATTTGCGATCGTCAGACAAACTGATTAATTTTTAAATTTTGGATTTATATATGGTTACGTATATCGGTGTTTTTGTGGTAACGGAAGGAAAATTGTCGCCGATCGCAAATAGCGTGAAACCCAGGGTCACTCACATCAATCCAAATAAATATGTTAGCTCTATCATTGATATTGAGCAGTTTCCAATAAGTACCGCGCATATATAATATAAAAATAATATATATAAAATTGCATATATATATATATATATATATATATATTTATATTTTATACATACACATTTTACATATATATATGTGTGTGTGTGTGTGTGTGTGTGCATTTGTGTGTGTATACACAAAGGC